CGGTACCGACTACCTATTCACTCCTGCATCTAACTTTCCTACCGTGTGTGCACCCTATGCCTAAAATAAATACTCGATTGGCTGCCATGCTTGCACGAGCCCCTTGCATCGTCCCCCATCACTCGTACAGTCTGCGTCGGCGCCCCTTCACTGACCTGCAGCGCCTTTCGTCACCGGGCGCTGTTCATCAGACGCGGAGGCTCTTCAAGCGCCTGGCTCGTTGACTGGCTCGTATGCTCATGAGAACAGTACATGTAATCACGTGCTCGAAGTTCGTCAACTCTATATAGCGTAGGAACGGCTTGATGACAATCCTTCGTCGTCCCTCACGCACCAAACAACATGGCCGGTAGCAAACACAAACATCCCAAATTGGACTCTGCGCAAGCTCACGTTATATCTACTCTTTTGAGCGCTGAATTTGATCCCATTGTTCATGAACTGGACCCCATGTTCGCCGGCTATCGGTCTGTCAGGGGTTGGGTAGCTCTACGCATACGGCGCCTTTTTGAAGAGTATCCCCTCTTCGGTGGCCCATTGGATGGCCCACAACGCCGAGAGCTCAGGATTGTGCGTACTTCTGGCTGGTCCGTAGCGTCACGAACGCTCAACGTGGTGCTAGGCTGTGGACAGGCGGTTCCGGAACCGGTATCGGATGCTGCGCTATGCACACCAAGCCCAGCCTAACGCAGACTTGTAGTGGTTGCGATTATGAGGTACGTCATTGTTTCTACCCTGAGAGCTCCATCTTATGGGTACGCTTGCAGGGCGTTGCATTGTCCGGTTTCGCGCATGTTAGTCAGTGAAAGATATCTTATGTGGCTCTTGATCTTGGTTGAGGTAGTAGCTTCTGCGATGCCATTCTGCCAGACGCGACAATGAGTGCTTCTTTGCCAAGCTGCCACCGTATTCTCGCGAGTAAGCATACCTTGCGGACTCAGGCATGAAGTCGTGCAGTGAGGCAGGCGGTATACGATAGGCGCATGTGCCTACAGGCTGCTTGTGCATACCTTTGTCATTCCTCTCGGCCCGACTTCGCACCACCATGATTCGCCATATGCAAGTGCACAATCTTCTTGTTGCCCACGAATGTGTCTCTTCTAGCACGCCGAACGTGCACGACAGTGTTCATCGAGTGTTGTCGAACTGGCCTCGATGCGGCCGTAATCGATTTTGTCCGCTCCTTTTGGTCCGTATCGCGCAGCCATTTGGACTTCACTGCCAAAAGCAAAAGTCGTAGGTAGCATACATCTTCCTCGCTCTCTTTGTTCATGAGAGACTGTCCTAACTCCCTCTAGTCTGTAGGTATTCGAAGATATAGTCCCAATGTGCCTAACCGTAATTTAATGCTCAACGACGCATGGCGAAGAGGTACGACGTTTGAAACCTGAGTTACGAGCAGCGCTGGGAGGTCGACCGTCTTCCCTTTCGATCCTCCCTGCGCTGTCTATTGGCAAGAACTGATCATTACCCTGAACCCGCGTTCTGAAGGATCACTCCATTCCAATCTTCACAAGAGTTCCCGTGTTGAACATTATTCACTGTTCCATCTCACAGTCGCTGCGCCAGATTCACTCATGATCTCAGGGTTCTGCGTTTCACAGGTACATGGATCAGAAAGCCGTAGGTTCTCCCAGCACCGCGCGCCGCGGCTTCGCTAAACTATTGCCAGCAGTATAATAGCCCCTATCACGTTGCTCTCCTTCACAAATTAGCGCGGTCTCGCTATGTCCCCTTCCAAGGGCGCTCTCCGTGCCAACGTCCTTAAATCGATCCAGGAAGACTACCGTCGAGAGCTGAAGGCTCGCGCTGGACCCGTGGATACAGACCTTGTCAATTACCGACGTCGTCGCTGCCGAGGCCTTGGCCACTACGTTCGAAAAGACATACAGTGCTTGACGGGTACTCCTGACGAGGGTCGTTGGTTCCTTGAAGTATGTCCTTCATGATTCTCTTGACAGGTTGGCAGTCGCTCACGTCACGGGTTGAATAGTGTCTTCTACCCCACCCGGGAGATGTTACAGGCAGCGGCACTCTCTTCATGTATGTTTCTTGTCGCCTTCAGCCAGCTGTCTTGCAGGAGTTACAAGACCGCATGTACGCACGCCAAGTACAAGCTCAACAGCTTCTGCATTCCGAACCTGAATACGACGCACGCGTGAGCCCAATTGAGCAAGACGGCAGAAGAGTTAAGCTCACCTCATCGAAGAGCACACCTTCAGGGCCGAGTACATCGCGCCGAGAGTCTCGAGCGCAGCGCAGATCAACGCAGCCGTATGCGACTCGTCCTAGCACAACCAGCGCTTTCCGTAGCCTGCTCGTCTCAACTGCCAGAAAGCCACCGTCCACGAACCGCTCCTCTTCTCCGGTGCAGTGCATCGAGATATCGGACTCAGAACCTAGCTCTGACTCGGGACTGCGCCAATCCAGACGATCGCCGTCTCGGAGTCCCAGTCTAGAGCTTCTGTCGACACCAGCACCGCAGGAATCTGACTTCACTGCCTGGTTATTCTTGAAGGTATGCCCTCAAACAGTGACACGTGGTAGCTAGACAAAGAGATTAACCTCAGGTTTGTCTCCTAGGATAATTCACCCCCAGAAGTCGTCAAACTCAAGCCCTATCCACACACTGATGTTATGCGATTCCGGCACTACGACGACATCTGGGAGAAGTTAGGGCTGAAGATCGCAGAAAGGGTCAAAGTACTCGCTGAATCGAAGGGAGGCGAACATCTGTGGCAGTTTGGTCGACTTTGCGATATATGTGTGCCGGTCGGGCAACGGGGTATTGTTCTCTCCAGACTCGACGTGGAGGAATACCACACCCGTATGGAGACGCTCGTTAGGCACGCGTTCACAGGAAGCTGTATGTCCTCTTCTTACTCATGCAGACGAGATGCTTTGAGCTCATGATGAGTGCCAGTCTCGCTGAACGGGAAGTAGCTGGTCTGGCATCAGGTTGTTTTGCGGCTTGGGAGACAGCAGATCGGAGATTCTCCGAGGGCCGACACCCCAAGGATGTCAGGGATAGTGTCGTAAGTTGATGTACACGTTGTAGTTTGAAACACATTCTCTATTCGAGCGACCCTGAGGATACAGAGAAGGAGGCGGACGCCTCAACGTCCTGAAGGCTTCGAAAGAGGTTAGGTTGAAGCCCGAGGCGCTCACTGGTGGCGCTAAGCTCGGGAAGAGCCGCGATGTTCCCACCACCAGTCATCCGATCATCACGCCATCAAGCTTCGCCGATATTTGGCTACGACCCCGGCGATGCCTTCTAGTCTTTCACCGCGATCCCTCAGGCTTTGAATTGAAGCTTGCCGCATGAAGCCAGACCCAGTAAACGTTTCATAGGATGATGTTCATCATCGCTCCCCTTGCTACAGACGGCGCCTCATGTTCGCTAGGCACATCTACTACTACTGACGAACCTTCTGCCGGCGCGAGCAGTGGCTTTGGAACACGCGAGGCTGTTGCGACTAACAATGATCTATGGGAACAACACAAGCACCGTGCTCTCACTCTTCGAATCTTGTCGACTGTCGCACGAGAATAGTCGAAGTAACTATCCTATGACCGTCACTCTCGGGGTACTCACCCTGTACGCATCCGTGCTCCACGTGCCTGCGTGGCGCTCCCGTATACCACAGCTAGCTCGAGAGCTGCGGCGCAACACGAACACTTTCCAAAACCAACAAGTCTCAGGGCCCATTACCCCACGCGAGCACTTCGCCGGACGGTGGCATCATTGTCTGTGCTTTCCTAACAACGTACAGCTTCTGTATCCCTCATCAGACGCCACTTACCGTTGGATGCCGTCAGTCTTAAGCCGATGTTCGCGGACAGGTGAGAAGCTGTGCATGATCAGGCCGGCTAGGCTGCATAAGGATCTTGACCAGCAGTGTCCCTGCCATAAGCATCCTGCACGATAAAACTTCTCTGCATCTTCTACGAGTACCATGGCGGTAGCGATTCTTGCCGAAACTCGCCATTGGAACCCGTTCATACCATCTGCTATCCGCGTCATCGAGACCCTGCAGCATACTGTAGGCGAGGATTATGAGCCTGTTCTTTATCCTCTACGATTCATCGCCACTGCGAAGACCATAGCTCCTATCATAGGGCAACGCTCCTTTCCCTCTCGTGAGATACTCTACCTGAAGATAACCGCCATAATCTGGCTACTTGCCGAGCTTATAGATAAACAAAGCGAGGTAAGCAAGCTGATATCTGGGTGTGGCACGTCTGACCGGCAATCTCAGCATTGCTTCTTCTGGTTGAGAACAGTCGGAGTCATTTATAGCCTGTACAACGCCCGGGCGTTTGACGCGTTTGGGATCCAAGGTCGATACGAGCGAAATCCCGAGCGCGCACAACACTTCGCTCGCTATCTCGAACCCATCCACTACATCGCACGACGAATCTCTACGCGTTGTTTCACCGGACCCGCTATGCTTTGTGCTGAAGACGACGAGGTCCGACACTTTGTATCGACTCAGCTGTATAACATCTTCACGCATTGCCTGTGCGTCTTTCTGTCATAACCGTCTTGGGTCAAGCACGCTAACATGCTACCAGAGTGAGCAATCAGCAGGCCGGGTCTTTTTACCGCCAGTTGCGAACCCCTTACTCATCCGGCCTGCTCTCTTTGCTATACGAGCATCTGGATTTGTCGCCGCGCAACTCGATGGAACTCGAGTCCATATCCCTCCTCGACATAGCTGAACAGATTTCACGCCCATGCGAGGGCATACAGGCTCAATCTGCTTATGCAGATCGTCTAGCTTCGACTGGACAGAGTGCACCCAACGTAGCATCCGCGCTTTCCCTACATCAACTGCACGCATTGCGACCAGCGTCCAGGATCTGGCCTAGGTCCCGAGACTCGTGTTGTGTCTGTAACACTGATTTGACGTGTGCATCTGGCCATGGGCTGTGCTCAGGGTGCAAACGCCCGACCTACTGCAACGCGGATTGCCAGCGGAGGTGAGCCGCCACGCCTAATGACAAGAATCGTTGACTGAAATCTCGCAGGGGCTGGAAGGGCGAACATAAGAAAGTGTGCCTTCTATTCAGTCTTGTCGATGCGCGCTTGAAGGAACCGGGGGTGAAAGACCTGATTGCCGGACTTTCGCGAGGTATTCCTGCGGATTATCTCGAGCACCAGATTTAATGAACACTTCTTGATGTCCCTCTGGTTTGGCCATGCAATACAATACACCCCCACTTCATCTATTGCATAATGCATGGGGCCTTCCCCCTAGCGTTATCTGTCGCTACTCTCTTCTCCCGTGAGCTACAGCTTTCTTCATGCTCTCCTCCGTACCCACTTCAATCCCAATCAGCATGCATTTCACGTCGTGTTAGACGATAGTTTCGCAGGATTCACGGTCCGTCTGAGGCATGGATTGCACTAAACCTGTATCGCACAACGAAGATAAGATCGATCATCGCGGTGAAGTTATCTACATCGAGAGTCATTACGGTCAGGAAATGACCGTGCAGTAGAGGAATGTCGGAAGCAACAAGATCGCTCTCGAGAACATGGCGGATGAGTGTGGACACGACGAGTATGATCAGGAAGGTGTCTATCTTGACCGTTCACTATCATCGCAGCATCATTTGCGAATCGTACAGTACAAATAGGAAGCCAATAGCATACTAGCCTCCCATCAGGACGGCGGCAAAGCCAGGAACAAGTGCATACTGACTTGGCGTTAAGCCGAACAACGGAGGTTGGACGGACGGTACCTCAAGTTACTTGTCCACGGTCCTCAAACTTGTATACCGACACACCAAAGATGTACAGAAACGTACGATTGGAACACAGTATATATTCAAGCGGTTTAATCAACATCCAATCATTTGTATGTACCCATGTAGCTCTTGTGCCTCGTCGCCAGCATTCGTATCGCCTGAACCTTCCGCGCGCGCGTTTTCGTAGGAGACCAAGGTCAGGCCTCCACCTTAGCCCTTTTCGCGGGCTTCGGGGACGCTCCATCACCACTAGTTCCGCTACCGCCGTCTTTGTCGTCCTCATCCCGATTACGAGGCCGCTTTGACGGTACTGATGGAGGCATGCGAGAAATGGCACTGGCGAGCCGTTCGAGGGCCATCGACGCGGACGCCGCGGCCGCGGCGTCGACATCCTTCAAGGCATCTTCAACGGTACCATCAACATCGAAGAACACCGTGACCTCACTACCTGAGCGTATGGCGCGAATGGAGTTGAATAAGTCCACGAGATCGTTTGCGACGATCAGTAGATCTTGCGAAGGCTGGAAGGAGTAGGCCTGGATGATCCCGTATGCAAGCCCAATGAGACCGTAGCGACCGTACATGAGCGAGACATCGTGGAAGCTCATGCGGCGAATGTTGATATACAGCTGAGCGACCAATGCAACGTAGTCACGTTCCACGCGGCTGGGCGGGTCTAGAGCGGTGAAATGTGATCTTGACTGCCACTTCGATATGCTCCGCACATCGCCTGTAGGAAGTCGTACTGGACCAGACTATACACAGCCGTCGTCAGTACAGTCATACTCACGGTAGTCTTTGGGTTGAACGTACATGAAACCCGTGGATCCCCTCGAACAGATGGACAGCCATCATCAAGCAAGCAAAAGTCAGCCACCCGGCGCCCGGCAGGTTTGAGGTGATGCCAGCGAGGCATGCTACGCGAGAGTTGAATTCGCGCGTCGTCATTACGCGTGCAACAGCGCCCACATCGCTCTCTTCGTCGCTCTCTTCGTCGGGTACCTCGATAACCTCCGGCTGGTCGTCGCTCTCGGGATGTGACGTGGGCTCGTCGGTTCCGGCAATCACAGCATTTTGATTGATAAGGGGTTCCGCGAGCGTCGTGACAGGAGTGTGCGCGGTGACTACAGCAGCTTCTTCGGCGGCGCTTGGCGCTACATCATGCTGGCGTTATAGTTAATGATCACCCTATGTGTACCGTAGACGAATGCTGACCTCAGTGTAAGATTCGCTATGGGCATCAGTCGACCCATGACTATATTCGACCAGGCTGTGAGTGTTCTGGTCACTTCGCATCAGTCGATGAGTGGTGATGAGCAGCGATCAACGCACAGTATCAATCGCGGGCTCAAGTCCCTCCGCGCCTTGCACACCGTCGACGGTGTCATCTGCCCCCTAGTCCGTATACATCAGCGCGATCCAAAACTGTACAACTTGGACGAACCGGATTGTCTTCAGTGCGGGGTTCGCCCATCTGGCTCGCCCCGAACGCGTCCAACTAAACACCGATAAGACTGATGACGTCAATGCAGCTTTATCACGACGTACGGTACGAGCTCGGATGGGCGGGTCTCTTGATCTCCCTTCCGACGCTTCCATATCCATGTTCCCGACCTTGCAACTGCAATTAGCAAGACTTTGACAGAACCCTCATGACGGGAAATCATTAGATGGACACACCTCTTGTCTTTCGGAGCCAGTGACGGGCGCTGTCGCATCTGTGAGGGGAGCAACGTCCTCTTCTAGCACGTGGGCAACAGCTGAAGTCGCGTGAGCCTCGGCGAACTGAGCCTCCAGCGCTTCAAGCTCAAGGCGGCGTATTTCCACAGCCGCGTCAAGTTCGGCGCGGCGCAAACGTATACGAGCAAGTGACAGACTCGCGAGCGTAGGTGTGCTCGGCTGAATGAATGCCAATTAGGCGCGGCAAGGTGGCATAAGGTATGGGGCACACACCGTGTAGGAGGGAGACCCGAAGCTGGTGTCGGACATGTTGGCGTTGAGTGGGTTAACAAACTGGAAGAGGATGGTGCTGGCGTAAACTGGAACGCTGCGACTCGCTCTTTATACGTATTCGCGGGTCTCGAGTCATGATTGAGGAGCCAAGTGCTGGAATAGCGCGCCCGAACCTCGGCAGGGCTAAGCGGCGCGAATGTATACCGCAGTCTGCAAGTAGCGCTACAATTGGCCGATATAACTTAGCCGCGTCGATGCCATTTCAATCGGAAGCCCAACTTACCGCAACAGTCGCACGCTGATCCTGAAGACGCCCCCTATCTTGAACTTGGCCGCACCAATCCTGAACTTGGCCGCATTGGTATCTGTGGAACCTAATTGAGCTTACTCGTTCTTGTGCCAATCTTAAAGCACGTTACCTAGGCGGTAAACCCACCGTGGAGACGCGCGAGCATTCCGAACGCACGGGAACATTCAGATTAGAGGCTGCCGTAGTAGCAGATTCAACCTGTGCGTACATACGGCGCCGCGCGCCAGCCGCAGATCCTCAACGTGTATTGGGTATTGCTGTGATTCCCCCCTGATGCATGTCTATCTGATGCTATTCAGATCATCGAGAGCTATATCAGGAAATAAGTCTCGAGCGCGCTGGTAGGGACAGTGCCCAGGACCATAGACCACTCTTCTTCGACTAGCGTAAGCCCTCTCGCCTCGCTGGGATGCAGATAGCTGCGTGGCGTCGGGCCAGCTCACAAGGCTCCTGCTCTTATGACGAAGGGTTTCAACGCCATAACGTTCACGCGGCCTCTGCGCGCCCCATGCCCACGCATAGTATCGCCGTAGGCTCCACCGGGGAGAATGCCGCTCAAGAATTTCGCGCTGGTAGAACGCGAAGGTACTGCGAACATGCCTGCATGGTACATAAACATTGCGCCTATATTCGATTCTGCGAGAGGGGGTTTATCTCGACCTAGGAGCACCTCTCTACTCTAACAATCTGCATAGCCAAACGCACCGCAGTCAGTACAGATGTGTATGCTTTAGAGCTCCCGATGACGCACATTCAATATACGGTGGCACCCACACCATGAGTTGACATCTACTCTCCCTGCCCTACCATCATCCGCCCGACAACTGCCCAATATAATCACCATTAGCCCCCTAATAAGAAATACATCTTCAGATAAGCTCGAGTAGCAGCAGAATATGCGTACCTGACATTGATTTACACGTATGATAGTACATGCCATCGGTGCAGGAGATAGGGCTGTCATGCACCATCGCGCGACGCGCACGCTCGTCCGCAGCGGCATTATCCCACGCGGCGTCATCCTTCTACTACTACGCCATCACACTCGTTTCCTCGAAACTTGTACTTAAGCCCAGTGAATGAACGGAAGATATGCGTCTCAAACTGTCTCAGATGGTTCTAGCACCGCCAATCAGTAACCCTAGCTACGTGGTCAATGCTTAACGTTGATTCTCTCCCCTCCATGACCGGCTGATCCCTCGCAATACCCTCAGCCACCCATCTCAGCCTCCAGGTATCTTTCTTTTCGCCCACGACTGGGTATCACTCATTTGCCGCCCTACTACTGCTCTCTTACTTGGCGGTTATTGACGACCGTACATGGACCGTGCACGAGTACGCACAGAAGCCAGTTGAACGATCGCGACAGTGCCGCAGGAAGCCGTTTTGCTAGCCGCCGGGCATGGCGTGAATGACGTATAGGCGTGTAGGATGTTTCGTTGCATGGTCAGTAGGGTAGTTGATACATGGATGAGTACAGCTCTTCAAAGAGAACGGGACAGCAGATAGATGGTACATATGTGGATGATAGCAAACGGGCCTCGGCGCGGTATTCGCTCACTGTAGTCGATATGAAGGATAGGCGTAGAAAGAAAAATGTGGAAGACGTGCAGACAGTGGAGGGAAAGGAAGTGGCGAAGAGACAATAAAGTACCGAGAGCGCGACCACTCAAACGAGAAGATGGTCATAGCGCATCATGTCGCTGACGTTTCAGACGGGCTTCCTCTTCGTGTTCGCGCACAAGATGCCTATTCAGCTTTGCCGGGTCCTTGAAGTGCAAGTCGCAGTAGAGACATGCATGAGGACTCTCTCCCGTGCTATAAGACAACCTCATGAGTGAATGGCGATGGACCAGGTGGAGACGCTCACTGTACGTTAATGTGGCAGCTCTCTGCGTTGACGCGTTGACTAAATTTTCTGGGACCCTCAGGAACATGACAGGAGTAGGAGAGTGGGGGAGGCACCTACCTCTTGCACCAGCTGCACTGAAAGCGCCTAGAGAACAGTCAGAACTACCCTTCGCATGGAGGGAGCCTACGTACTTGAATTTCAAGTGCCTGCCTTCCACATGACGCTTGACGAGGTGTCTTTTTGACCGATAGCCACATCTGATTGGCTCGTCGTTCGCTATCTTCTGGTAGGTGCAGTGCCAATATGATTCGTCATGTGGGTCAGGCTCCGCGTGTTTGAGGTATTCCTTCTTGTCGACCTTAACGCCAACCTTGACGATCTCAAGTTTGACCAGCGCTCGATTGAAATACACCTTCGCGCTCCCGGGCCCATTGACCTCCCGGACCTTGTAGATTTGGCAGTTCACGTGGTCATAAGGATATTCCTCGCAAGAGTCTTCGCCATTAGGACCTAGGTGCGTTTCTGGTATTCGCGAGCGCTTGCCGAGACTCGAAGACGTCAAGGAGCTCTGCGTCTTGGGAGAAACATGCGATGATTTGCTATACAAACGTCAGCGCCGGTACATGCTGACGGCATAGGATACGTTGACATACGTATCTGGTGCTATCCGTATTGTCTTTGAGGTTTCGGGGCGCCAGTCGTCATGTTTACCGTCCGACGATGGGTACGAGTGATGGGCGTGGCCGTGTGAGATCCCCGAAGATAGTGATGAAGGCGGTGAGAGAGAGAGAGTGGACGAGGACGAGGACGAGAACAAGGACAAGAACAAGGACGAGGACGAGGACGAGGACGAAGTAGAAGTCGATGGCAAAGGCGATGGTGATGGTGATGGTGATGGTGATGGCGAAGGTGAAGGCGAAGGCGACGGCGACGGCGATGGCGAAGGCGACGGCGAAGGCAGCGGCAAAGGCGTGTACAGAGCTGGATCAGGGTGGTTGTGAGACAATGTAGAGGCTGCGAGGTGGCATCTGTGCAATGAATAAGCTTGTGGCAGAAGTGCGAAGAAAGGCCGCCAACCTTGTGGTGTACGCAACTTGGAGAGCCCGAAGGAGAGCCGCTCCCTCTCGATCTTCGGGTGTGGTGGCGCATTGGCCGAGAGATAAGCTAGGTTGCAAACCGTCTCCAGCAAGAGCTTCGTAGAGGTGAAGGGGGGAAGTTGGGTGAGTGGCACGAACGAGAGGCCTGGTGAACGTTGTTTGAGCGTTATTGTCAGTTGGCGGAAGGAAGCACGAATCACCTTGCTGAAGAAATGTTCGCGAGTGGCGACCCGCTTTGAAACTGTGAAGAAGACCGCGTTGACAGTCGAGATGGGGTTTGGCACACGGGGTGGTGAGCCATGGAGTGGTAACACCTTCAAGTTGGGCGGGAGAGCTAAGTACAAGCATAGGAGCGCTCAGGAGCGCTTGAGCGCTCGAGCGTTTGCCCCTAAATTCGGCAGAGTGACATCCTCGCAACCCTGATGATGCAGTGATGTACCCTCCTGCAGTCACGTCCCCAGCAAAAGAATTAGTACCTTCTTATTGTCATGAGGCAGTGTACTGCAGTGTCAGTAAGTATACAAGGCCGCTCTTCGTGGAAGAGGCGCGGCTAGACGCAAGCTTTCCACGTGTGAGGACCGGTTACAGGTTCGGTTCCTCGGTTCTCTCCGGAACTAGTATCCTAGGACCTTGAACCCAATAATAACGTTCCGTGGCGAGCGGCTTGTCCCTGACTTCCATGAAGTATACTTTACCTCGTACGTCGCGAGTCTGCTTAGGTTCACCCTTTCCAAAGCACATTCAGTGCAGTCCTTCTGCTACAATATTGGCACCTGGCATATTGTTCATAGAAGCAATGTTGGCGCCGACATGCTCAATATCGATGACGTCCCTGTACCCGACGAACTCGTCTGCTTTCACCGGCTTGTCCGCAGTGGCCTACATCATACGCAAGTCCCTCTCTATGTCATCTTCCTCGGGAATGTCGTTGGCATCACAACTGATCTGTACTATTCAGTGCCGCCGCATCGGAAGCACTCACTAAAGACCTTACAGCTCCGTCGGCGACCAGGCCTTGAAAGGTTGTGCGGACTCGTACCTTCTTCGCGTTCCATATCCTTCGATACTTCAGGCCTACTCGCTCTGGCGCTATTGGATTCGGGAGCTTGTTACCTTGGCCTTTCAACGCCCGGACTTAGGGGACCACGCGCTTCAAGTGAGGGCTGGGCGCATCAGCCTCCCGCGTGTGAAGACGTTGATACGACTCGTACCGTTGGAACAGCCGTCCCGCGCATTCACGCCGATTCAGCATGGGGTCTGTGTGCTTCTCATCTTTGCTGACCCGGTGTCACTTGTTGGATGGGTAATGTCGAATGCTGACTGAGAACAGGCAAGTGATAGGGACGTTACGTTGGCCGCTCGCGACGAGAAGTCGGACGATGAAGCTCGCGCTAAGGCTGAGACGGACGAAATCGAGAGAAATAGAGTACGTGTGACACTGTGCGGTATCTATGACCGTGGTAGATATACCCATACCAAGACGAACCACTCCCTCCTTCCGACTGGGCTAATCGTCGACGCACGAATGTCGCTACGTACGACCCTTGCCACTCATTCCACACCTGCAGAAAGACTTTAGTAGTTACACGTACGGTATCGCGTTTGCGGAGCTTGTGGATAGTCACGCAGTTCACGCTCGGTTGTCTATGCGAATGCAAGTTGTATGTTGTGCTTGTATGTTGTGCTTGGCCAAGACACGGATCGTGACAGTCATTAGGGATGCGAGGATTAGGGTATTATGCAAGAAGTACACCGAAACTTCGACAAAGCGATGCAGCGTGAGATGTGAGATGTGTGATGGTGGTGATAGCGTGCAAGTGATAGGTGGGAAGCAGCAGACGATTGTCGTATGGTTACATCAAGAAGTGCGTGAATCAGGTAACAGTATTCGTTCAAGAGCAAGAAAACATTTCCAAGAAAGCAGTGTCATCATGCAAGCGGTAGTTTCCGATGTGCGATGAAGACGAAGAGCGGAGTATGGACAGTTCGACGGCCAGATGCGGCGACGAGGAGATGCGAGGAGAGATTAAGGATGTCTTTGCGAGGAGTCTCGGTGGCCTACAGGCGCAGCCAGGACCAGATGCGGCCAGGCAGCTTTTTGAAGAATTGGATAACGAGCGAGAGTGTGGCTAGTATGCCTGAATGGACGTTGGTGTCGTTGACCGCGTCGCCGTCCTGCAAGGCAGGACCGCCGCTCGCCGACCTCGAACGTGGGCGCGGGCGCGGTGAGCCTCGGCTCACTTGCTCCGTAAACTTGCGAATCTTACGGGGTGCGCCTATGACACAAGTCAGCGAAAGCGGTACGAGGGCGAAACGGCGCGTATCCTCGGCGCACCTGCGGTCCTCGGGTCCGGCGAGATCGTGGAGTCTGTTACTTGCGATGCCATCGCAGCGCTTGTCAAAGAGCGGGGCTTTAAACGAATGTTTGCGGCGCCAACTCGATGCACAGAACGCGAGGAAGGCGATGGTGCGAGGCAAGGACTCGCGACGACTCGCGACTGAGCGCGAGGACCGGAAGACAAAAAAACGTGACCCGCGTCGCTTTGGCCTACAATGAGTTTTGAGGTTAAACACCACGAATTAGGTCATACGCGAGGGGATTTCGCACCTGCTCCGTCAACTCCACGCGTTACCAGGTGGCAAACCCAAAATCGTAATCTGGTATGCTAGGAAAGGGCTGTGTCAGTCTGATTGGAAAGAGCAGTCTGTGAATATCGCGTACTTCACATAGATCCGCGGAGCCTCGACTCAGGAAAGGTCAGTACCCCATAAGCAGACGACAAATTACATCCATTCAATCGTGTCAGGGACAACGATGTGGCTGAGCCTCATGGGAAAGACGCTGTCAAAACGACGAAACGGGTACTTGGAATCGACCCTTTCATTCGCTGAGTACGACGGCGACCTGCAATGGCTGTGTGCTCCGCGTACTAGTGAACGTCGGGCGCGCGCAGTTACGCGTGTACTATCTGGATCTTAGATCTGGGGTGTATACGATTAGACGCGCAGAACGGGCTTACCGTTGGTCGTCATCGTGCAGCGTCGTCGTGCGCCGAGGTCGCGACTGCAATACTATACCTGACCAGAGCAAGCAAGAGCGCACAGGATTCCCGACCGTGAACCAAGGACATTGTATAGCAAGGTAGGAGAAGGAGTACATATCTAGGATGCGCACGGTCACCACGAACACCAGCTATCGTAACTGAAACGGAGACAGGGGTTGTGCTTCTTGATGCGCCCGTTGGCGCGAGCACGTACGACTCTCCCGCGTCCAGTGCGCCTTCTGGAAGATGCGGTACCGCTCGCTCTGGTGCACCGTTCGCGGTCTCCATTTCGCTACCTGGGCTCGGCACTGGCCACACAGACCACGATCGTTCGGGAGCGAGTATCCTGGCCTCTGGGCGGAGACCGGACGGAGGTTTGCTGTGTACTCCGCACTTGACGGCGTACGTGACCTCGTGCCTGAGCGGACAGCTCTGGATCTCGCGCCAGTAACACGACTCTTGGTGAGAATATCAGCGACGAGTACAATCATACAGAAATCAAGAATGGTCCTGACCTTTTTGGGATAAACACCGGCACATCTTCCTGTCGGCCCACCGCGAGGCGCGGGGTATGAACGGGCCCGAGTCGCTCATAGACGCCGCATCCTGCCGACGTCCCAGTACCGGTACCAGGGCCGGCGAAGCGCGCAGGCCTTCGATGGTCCTCGGCGCTCTCTCGCGCTCTCATCGGCCAGACAAGCGCCAGAACGGACATCGGCCGATCATGACGACAATATCTGAGATAGAGCATGCGGCTGCGACGCCCTGTGTCTGCCTTACTCGATCAGCATCTTGCTTCGTGTGCATAGAGTATGGATGAAGAGAACGTACAAGCAGTACCCCTCCCCCTGATCAACTTCCCCTTCGAACATTTCCCCTCCCATCTTGATCGTGAATAATGTCGCGGCGTCGAGGATCCAGGATTGCTGTCGGCGATATTGCAAAGCAAAGCGCTCGCTCGGGGAACCTCAGACATGGGGGGGACGAGGCGCACACTATGATTCAGGCGATATCTACCATGAGCTGAAAGAGGAGCTGCACGATGCGTCGTGTCAGCGCAGGCAACGGAGAAGAGTATATCACGGCTCGCCTTGACCAAGTCAGAACGACAATATTGCTGCCCGAACGAGAGATTCGCCTCTGTTATTGAGTTCAGAGGCACGTCCCGAGACGATAGAGTATGGCCTACGTACCGTGTGATGTCGAGCAAGCTTGGAGTCGGCACGGCAATATCTGGTGGGTGCGTAAAGAAGGTCAGAAGACGAAAGCTAGCACATACATGGCGTTAGCTCAAGCGACAGACGAAAGGTAAAGCTGCGACTTGCCTTGAAGTTCTCATGCGGCATGAATCGATAGGAGGCACAGTTCGGTGCAAGCGACATCCGCCAGAAGCTGGGGGGCTATGAGATGCGTCACGTCAGCGCAAGCAACGGACGAAGGGCACGCTGCGACTCGCCTTGACCTCGCAGGTATGCCCATATTGCCGCCCGGCGAGAAACACACTTCTGCAATCGAGTTCAGTTCCATACCCCGAGACCAGGGAGTATGCACAACGTACCGCGTGAGATCGAGAGACATCGGGTCAGTACCGGAAGTCCAAGGTAACGGCGCAGCTGAAGCGTCCGCAGATATCGGGTCGCGGTCGCACCAGCGACTCTCACTAGACCTGCAGTCAGCGTACAGGACCCTATCAGTGAAATGCGGTACTTACTGAAGATCCAGAACGTTCGTAGCCACAGGCGAAATGAATGGAGTCCCAGGTTGTTGAGTTGTTGAGTTCTTGGAGCGCCGGATGCAGCGTATCCACGAGCGGTAAAGCCAGTAGTAATGAGAGACCGCCAGAGAGTGCACGCGTTACAAAAGAGGGTGAAGATGGTCAGAAGGGAGCGAGATGGAGCACAAGAGCATCGCCGCGGGCGCAGGACTTGGAGGTGAAATATCCCAGAGTTGATGCGAGGGGTATAACGAGCAAGATGTCCTTACGCAGCCTTGCGACTGCTCCAGACAAGGAGCCCACCACTCGTTGGGCTGTAGATGCCCATGGTCGGGAAGGCACGTCGTGGTACGGGTCTAACCAACGCTCGCCGCTGAACGGGTCGCCGGTCTCCCGTTCCGGTCAACGCCGAGTCGCGAGAAGCGACTTGCGCATCTTGCGCGCGACCTCTATGGCCTCCGGTACCGACTACCTATTCACTCCTGCATCTGATATATTGGTCTTATATGCACATTTCCGATGAGATATCTTCATCCGATGGGCCAGGAAGGCCGATTGAAACCCTACTTCTTTCCGTGTATGCTCACAATCGAAGGCACTGAAGAGCTTGGATTACCGTACTGAATAAGTCCGCCATCTACTCCTATTCTTCAACTCCTGTATATCCTTAGTCCCAGTGTTGCCTTCTCCCGCACGCTACACCGGTCTTCCATCTCTGCGTCTGTGTCAGATGTGGGTTGTGCGCTCGGGGACATGCCTCGGTCAACCTGTGTATTGCCCGATGTTGAGGTTTGCTGCGGTCCCTCGCCCCCTGTGGTATGGAATGCGCTCTTGTCGTAGCCTGTCATGATCTGGCAAGGCCCTATGGACAAGCCCTCGGTAGTGTGGACGGCAATAAACCGTTGGGCGTCCGCTCGAAGCTCTTGACATTGTTCCCGCCACTTGGAAGCCTGGGAACGCCGAATCCACGCCTGTTTGGAAGCATACGCTCGCGCTCCATCTTCCCAGCCCTTGTCAGACGCGTACGCATGCTCTTCGCCGAAGTCCATCCTGCCTTGCGGTTTGCATCGCGTATCCCAGATCCTCGCCATGTTCTCGCTGAACTCGACAATACGCCGCATCTCTTCATCGAGAAGACGGACCTCCTGTACCCAGTGCTGTGCCCGAGCGCGGCTCTTGCACCATTCCACCATCAGTTCTAAATGGAGGTTAGCTGTGAGTGCGATCATTAGAGTATGATTTGGACAGCTCACCGTCAGTTACCTGAAGCCCAAATTCCTCCGATTCACTATACCAGATCCAAGGTAACTCGTAACGGGTCTCTCCCGACGAGTCTGCGCCACGCTTCCCTGCTAAAAACTGTTGGATGTTTTCTTCGGTCATGTTCTCTATCTGCTCGAGCAACCGGTCACCCAAACCATGACAGTCAATGTCGCGCAACGGCTTCATTGTATCCTCCCAAGCACCCTTCCCCATCAATGCGAGGTAGGCCTCACGGTGCCGTCGATATGCCTTTGCCGCTTTCTCAACATTGTCGAGAACAATATCTTGAGTCTCCCGAGCGCGGGTGTTGTTGTGTTGCCCGGTGATCTGTGCCAGTTTGAACTTGTTCAGGCAACCCTTGAGGCGCAATTGTTGTCGCAAGTTGTCGAGCTCGTCCGCCATCGCCGCCCATCTGAGCTGAATTTCCAATGAGCGCACTGCAGCGGGCACCGTGGTCTCGTCCTGGTTCGCAAAGTTTGATGGCAGATATAGATTGACAGATAAGGCTGCCTGGCGATCTGGATCGCGTTCATCCAAGGTGAGTGCCGAGTAGACTTCGGGCATATACAACTCTTGCTGCCTTCGAAAAACCAAGAGTTCTTGCAGGATCATGCCTAAAGCCCTCGTCCTAGCCGTCGATTGTTCGACAGTCCCTCCACTGGGCTTGTGTTTCTTGTAGAAGCGTGCCCTTCGCAGATATATCAGACAAAGCAAAGTGATTATGATCCAGAGTGCGCACCTATCCCCTTCGATCTCGAGTCCACGTGCAAGGAATGTGGTAAGCACAGCCTGTTCCTCGACTTCCAGCGAGGCAGCAGAGCGAGAAGAGCCCTGATCCAGTTCAGCCTGCAATTTGATCTCCGCAACCGTCAAATCTAGAGTTCGCTGAGTAGACGAATGCAGCAGAAGATTGAATCACACTGTACGTGTTTTCTCAACGAAATATGGACAAGGGGCGCCGGCCTTCTTCTCAGGATCTTGATCCCAGGTCCTGATAGCAGCTCGCTCGTCGGCCAATCTCTGAGGATCATCTGTCTCAATGGCCTCGGTGAATTGTGTAAAGATCGCCGTTTGCCGAGCCCCATCGTCCAATGCACGCGCCATACGCTCGCAGAGGAGATTGGCTAAATGTACTCATTAGTTATTCACTCCTCTCTCGGCTTCCTTGTCACCGCTCACCTATTCCGCAGACTTTTCTCCAGTTCCATGAGCTGCACATATCGTCCATAGTGTCACTCATACCGCCCGCACCCATCTCGCGCAAGCTAGAAGCCGCGGGATTCGCACCGGACCATACACGCTCGGCGCCTTCGCCATCGGTTATACCAACTCCGAACAACAAACCCAAAGCATATCGCAGTTGGCAAAACATCTTGTGGGCGTAGAGATGGAATTTGGGAACGACGTATGTGATAGTCTTGTCGACATGGTGTTGAAGAAACCGTATGGCGCCTGGGAATACGGCCTCGTTGGACGACATCTTGTTAATCCGCTCGTGGAGTCGTTTACTCCACTGGCAAGCGATGTCGTAGCAAACGGTGACCTCCGCGCAGCGGAGAAACGATAGTGCGCCGCAGAACACCCAATCCATGGTACTGTAACTGATCTAATGTGAGTTCACCGATGATCATGGCAAGGTGGCCGTATAGACATACCGCTCTCCTTTCTTCAACGTAGCTAGACCTAAGGCTTGCACGACTTCGTGGCGCGCGCAAAAGCAACCCGCTATGCCTGTAGTCCTTAGTCCTTTACCGCCCTTTATATTAGCCATGACGAGAGCACCGAATCTAGAGCAATCATTTGGCTGCGACCTCGTGTCAGTAACAGCGTGAAAGTTCCGACGAATGCACCTCACAGGTTCAGGTATGTCTTGTTTCTCTGTCCTCGTAATGTACTCTGCGTACTCCTTGCGTGGCGCCATGTACGCGCGACCATCGGTAAGGTTCGGGTCCATCCAGTCTTTAGAGCGAGTCAACTTATTACTCAGTCGAAAGTTGGCATCTAGCAACAGGATCACCCTGTAAAGCCAACTGAATGATACTAGTCATTATACGGATCTTGGCAAGTATATTGCAGAGTACTGACCGGAAGGGGCTTGCAGCCCAGTCTAGCGGAACATTCAGGTCGAAATCCGGGCAAGCCGGGCAGCGCACTGCGCAAGCACCCCAACGAGTGGCGCCAATTCCGCCCGGTTCGTGACCTCGGCCCGATCTTTTGAACATGAGAACATGCCGAAATTGTCGTACGCATGTTGCCAGCTGTTGACGGACATTCTGCGTGCCAAACTAGTCAATGCCTGCAAGTTTGAAGGTGCGACAGACTCATACGGCAATGTCAAAGATACCGGCACCATCTGACGCCGCCTCTAAAGCTCGATAATAATCGTACACATTCAGTCGTCCAAGGAGCGACAGTCGTGTGAATTGATCAAGTGCCTCATGTGTCGTAGCCGTCTGCGGATTAACGCACGTCGCAGGCCAGAAACAAAAGCGTATGAGCTGGATGTGGTAAGGTACTGCTGCGCCTCTCTCACAGCCGCAGAAGTCCACAGGGACGTGATGTATCCCGTTCGTATGGATTACCGTGAAGTCTTCGATCTGATGGACTGCGCGAAACGCACAAGTTTCGCCGGCTGGATGCAGGAGTTGAATCCGTATGCCGAGGTCTGCCGCCGTCACCCTCCGATAAAACGAGCCATCGTACCGCTGTCACTCTCGTGAGATGGAGATCCAATAGATATTGACGAGTTAATATCTTACTTCAATGTTGTGTAGCGGGTTATAGCGATGCCAATGTTTGATGCATGTCGCACAAAGGTTCACTCCCCGACAATCCTCACAGCGGTATTCAGGGAAGCCTGCTTCATTGCAGCCCGGGCAGCTTGTCAAGTCCAGTGCTTCGGCCCGCCCATCCAACCTGACGACCTCGTTCAAAAATATATCGCGCCAAAGAAGGGCCCATCTCAGGATAGGAAAGTCCTAAGCATGCACGCCTATTAGATCTGCCGCTCAAACGAGATATCAGTACTCACGGCGAACGTGTTCCTTATCCGCTTCCCCGTCTCATGCAATACTGATAGTCCTTTATTAAGAGGCTCAAGCACGGAGGCCGACTCGTTGTGGTCACTGACGCTCAGATCGCTGTCTTCGTGCTTCGGATCTGTGATGTAGAATTAGAAATTGATCATCTCAACTCTGTTCAAGACTTACCTTCACGAGATGCTTCCTGAAGAGCGACGCCGCCAAAAGGATGCTGGAAGGCGCGGGCAATTCTTTCCGGGCCTAAACTTCCCAGCACGCATGAGTCCATCGTAGACTTTCCACCGGTACCGCGGTGCTCTCGCGGGCTGTTCGTCTTGAATTCCTGTGCATGCCTGAGAAGAGGACTGTGTACATTCTTGGCGTGACAGAATGTGAGCGTGCTTTTCGCCAAACGAAGCGCGGTAGAACTCGTGAAGGTTGAAGCCCCAGAGCCTCCCAGGTTGGATCGAAGTCGCTTAGAGGGGGAGAGCTGGTTATGGCTGTCTTCGCGTCGCCGTCCAGGACTCTCGAAAGCTCGCTTCATACCGAGATTGGCGGGCGCAGATGGGCGGATATAGCAAAGTCAGGTAAGTCAGGTTAGCGTAGGGCGTCTCAAACATTCGAACATGGTTCACATGACTTTACCTAGCGCGCAGGAGCGTACGGGACCGCGACAGGAGCGCTCATGAGGAACCCAAACTGGTCATCAACTGTGCACTCAATCTGAAACAGTTGATATCTTGGGGAACTCACACTAGCGCGCAATTAGAACGCAATCGCACGCGCTGGGGTCGGAGCATATCAGAGAGAGTCTAGCTCCAGGGATGTCGAAGGTGCGAATAAGCGCGACGGTCAATGCACGATGAAGCCGCATTCGATAAAGCTGCATTACGAGTACAAGACAAGGACTTAAGATACGCAATATACTGTGCATAACAGCGAGCACCATGAAGGCAAATCCAGGTACAGATGCACGCGGCGGGAGGATGCCAAGTTGTAGGAGCTGTGACACAGGAAGGGGGAAGGCGATGAGGCGCGCCAACTTTGAGGGCTATGCCCATGCGACGAGATGATGGGCCAGGGTTGATAGACACCGAGGGCGTCTACAGCGCGCATTGAGCGAACGGCAAGGATGTATTCGCGCAAATGATGGTGGTGGTAAAGAAAGAAGACGCGTGGCCAACGCATACACGAAGCCTCGGCGCCGGACCGGACGTGACTTGCATTCCCGCCACCACTTTCGCTTGTAGTCTCTACCGTGTTGGCGTCTTCTTCTTTCAACCTTCCCCTCTCGCCTTCTCCTCACAGTATCTACACATACACTGCTCCCTCTTACGATATCTTCGCCAGGCTTCGGCTTCGCGCGTCGGCGTGCCTTTATCGGCACTACGGCACGATTGCCTTGGGGCGTGCTTTCACGACTGGCCGTTCGGGTGCTGCGCTCGCTGTTCCTGCTCACGGTGACTAGAAGGACGTTGCATATGGTTTATGCGTTGTGGCTCACCAATAACTGTAGAGTCACTCCATCAACGGTGCTAGCTCTTCGACGCTCACTGCGACAACCAGGGTCCGATGTCCAGCACAACGTCTTGTACCGATGCTCAAGCTATATTCTCAAATCATCCGTACGACGAGCACGTGCTGTGTGGCTCTCAGCCCCGGACGACCAGCCGGGTACCGAATCGCGATGGCAGTCATGCGTTCCTTTTCGGCACTGTATGCGCAGGCCCCGCATCCTTACCTTCGACGCTCGCACTAAGCCGTGGCGATGACGCCGACGAGCACTTCCGGCGCAGCAGGCTCAGGCGGGTGGAGCGATGTCCCAGCCGGACCGGCGCGGATCGACAACTCTCGCAGCCCGAGTGTCACCGTGTGGGCATAGTCGCGGCGCGCAACTTTGAGCTCGAGCCAGAGAAGGAAAGGTGGCGCGCGGCGGCCTGGGCGTGATACGGCGCGGGTGTGGCGGATGCGCCCAGAAACGGCAAATTGCATTATCGTCTCGGGCTGCTGCCTCCCGAGGCGAAGGGTGTGGAACTGCGCGCTGTATATCACTCCACCAAGAGGTATGTGCTCTTTCCCTTGTTGTCTCCTCGCGCTGGAAATGGGAACGTTGGGCGCTAATGTTCTGCCCACATGGTTTACAGCTTGATCGCGACGAACACGTTTACGACTTCTTGAGAGTCTGCGCTCATGATTTGATCTGGCGCCGCACAAGCTCGTCGTGCGCAGGCAGACGCCACCGCATCCGACCTCTTCGTCCGTCTTCACGGCACTTTGCTCTCCGCCGTCGAACGCGACGCCTTTGCACCAACACTCCGAGAGCCACGAGTGGGCGATGAGTGCTCGTGCCCGCAATGACGACAGCATGAACATTGGCGAGCCGAGCTCCGCGCTCTCCGAGGCGTCAATTAACTCGGGCGACGGCGAGCTTCCCGCGGCCTTCACGCTCGCGTGCCAGCTCGCGTTCACCGTGTTCGCACATGCCGTTTCGCATCCAGTTCCTGCGCGTGACGGACACTCTGCACCGCCAGCATATGCAGCGATCCTGTTCACGCTCCTCGCTGTCCTCGCGAAGTCCGAGGCAGCACACGTACTGCTCGAGCGCGCGCCATCGCACACCCTCAAGTGTGAGGATGGTTCTAGCGAGCGCCTCGCGAGGTGTGGCGCGTTGCCGGAGGACTGGTGTTTGCGTGGTCTGGTATGACCCGGCCGCAATCTTCTCGAGAAGGGCTTCTGGAAGGCAGAAGAGGGTGTCTCGCGCAAGATGGAAGTTCTCGATGAACGCGAGGGCGCAGAACTCGAGACTGACAAGGAACGCGTCGAGGAGGAGGGCAGTGAAGAAGAGGAAGAGCTCGGCATCAGGCGGTGGGCTCGCGCCGTATGGGCTGGCGCACGGCTGTCGCGAGGCTCGTACCTGGCTTCGAGTGGAGGGGCGGGAAGGAGTGGGCCATCGACGGTGTATTGCGCGAGAAAGTTGTGGCGTGGACTGAGAAGGAGGGGAGAGAGCGGGAGGAAGAGGAGGCGAGGAGGTCTCGCGTCAGGGGTGCGGATCCGATGGAGGTTGATGAGGATGATGTTATCGAGGAGGATAGTGAGGATGATGAGAGCGCTCCTAAGGAGGTTCGCGCGCTTAAGGTACATTTTTTCTCTTTCCATCGATCCAAACGCGATGCTAATACGAGTCTCCGCTTTCAGGCGCGCCAACGCTACTTGCGCCCCCTTCTCCGACCAGCCGCCGCGCTGTCTCAGTCTTCACCCCGCAGGCATACCCGTCACAAGGTGCCCACACTCCGCCGCTCACCGGGCTGCACAACACTCGTGCTTGACATGGACGTTTTTCTCGCCACTCAAGAGCGCGTACGTGCGCTCATCGAGAGCCAGCAATGGGCCGTCATTGTTCCCCTACCCGTAATAATGGAACTCGATGGCCTCGCCTCTTCCTCTCACAACTCCGCCGACCCCTTCTCATCCAAATCGCAAGACCTGCTGCCTATAGTACTTGATTTCGTTCGCACTGTAGCCCATTATGATGTATTTGTGTACCTTAACCTCACTACATGCTGGTCTGGCCGAATCTTGTCCAATTTCGTACCAATCCTGCGAATGCTGAGCCTCTACAAGCCCCATCGAACAGCTCGTTAGCTGCAATTTGGTGAGCACAGCGGCTTGATCTCGTGAGCTGTCGTTGGATCATCATTCGACGATTAGCTGGGTATGACGGGGTGGGGGGGTTTCCTGAGGCATAGTCACGCACTGTACGGTGTTTCTGTTGAATGAATGAAGTTCTGAACAGAACTGAGTGCTGAAAATGATTCCATGATTTGAATAGAATGGACATGATCAGAACCCGAGCAAACATGATCATTGGTTGAGTACGAGCACTGATTGAACGTGCTCAGGATGATTCAAACGTGAACAGGCATGAATGGTCATTCAATATGATCACGATGATCTGAAGTAATCCAGCATGAACGTTGATTGAACATACCTGAGATAATCAGAACGTGAACAGGCATGAATGGCCAATGAATGCGTTCAAGATGATCAGAATGCGATTGAGTATGAGTACTGCGTGAACAGGTTGAGTATGAATAGAACATGATCTGCGTGAACTGAATGTGATTAGATATGAACAGTGGCTGCATATAATCAGGATGATCCGATCGCAATTGAATATGAACACTGACTGAACCTGTTCAGGATGATAGAACGTGATCTACAAATTGAATGTAATCAGGTATGAACAGCGACCGAAGATGATCAGAATGATCAGAAACTAATCGAATATGAACATTGATGGAACATAATCGGGTGGAGTGAAAGGGATGAACCGTTGCGTGCAAGCTAAACGGTGTCGAGTATGTGTGAGTTTGAAGAGCCATACCCTCCTTCATGCGCCTAGCTTTCCAGTAATTGACCACATGACGGTGTCCCAGTTCATGTGCCTCTAACGACTATCGAGATAGAGAGCCAATTGACCAGCTGCGGAAAGCACACATGGTTTACAGAAGGCTTGGCAGGCGAGTATCTTGAAGCATGCAGCAGACGAAGGTACCCAACACAATCTATTCCTTACTGATCTGGAAGTTGAGGGCAAGACCAAATTGAGCGAGAATAATAGAGAGGGGGCTCCACAAGAGGGAGAAGGTGTATGGGTTCTCTTTAACATGCCGCCGCGATAGCCTGTCGCAGAGCGGCGTTGTGGTGGTCAAGAGCAAGGGTCGTCTGCGAGCGCGCGCCGTGGGCGGCCTGCGCATCAAGTGACGTCACGGATCAATAAGGGGATTCTTTATCCCGCATTCTGATTGAAACCCGATTATCAAACCCTTGACCCCCACGGCTGGGCGGCAGGCTATCTAAGCACGAGTTTCTCCAGCTCTACCTACGCCAAAATAATGTGGCACTGTATGGAAGAGGCAAGCGGGTTTTCTGGCCGTCACGTACGCAGTTGGTGGTCGTCGACAGTCAAGGCGTCAAACCGCAGAAAATTGCATCAGAATATCAGCGGATATCGGCCCGAAGCTCCGAGGGTTCGCCACACGCTGCAGACGGCTAAGCTCGAACATGGGCAGGAGTGGCTGCGAGCCCGGAGGTGCCAAGGACTACCTGTGAGTGCAGCGCTACTAGGAGCCCTAAGGTCCTCGACGTCTGTGAGCGTTGGGACGGTGTCGCCGCCACAACGCGTGCCGCCGAGAGGCTTTTCTGCGGCGGCGGCGCAAAAGCACAAGGTTAAACCTCCACCACAACCACCATCACTGGTACTGAGAAATAACCTTGCATGGTCCTCTAGCCCGGTAACCCCGCGGCTTCTTGCACATACAGCGGAAACTCCGCCGCATATTCGCGAAGATCTCAAAATCGCTTTTCCGGACACATGCACTGAACATGTGAGCACGGGATTCACGTTCGGTACCTCGATCTGTGAGCAACGCGCTGGGTCTGCTGCCTGTGCGTCATACGGCGGCCCGGATGGTTCACTTCGCTGGTCATGGTGACCGCTCGTTGGCCGGCGAATATATAGAGGACATGTTGTCTGGCACACCCGGAGTAAACGTTGAAGATGGCCTTGCCAGTCGCGTCTTTGCTCGCTCTCGCGGTGTTATGCGCCGCGCAGAACGTCACTATCGACGTCCCTTCCTCTCCACCGTCAGACGTCTCGCGTACGCTTGACCCAGCCCTGGTCTCGTTCTCCATTGAGATCGCGTACCTCGACTCCTTCACCGGCAATGCGAGCTCTCCGAACAATCTGACGCGTGCGTTGATGGCGAATTTGGAGGACCGAACGGGACAAGGTCCCGATGTGCGGCCTGGCGGTATCACCATGTACGTCCACTCATACGTTGCATGGACTCTGGTGTAGACACTGACGCGTCTCCTCCTAGTGACAGTTCCAAGTTCGACCCTAACCAGACGGAGATTGTGGTCCTGGATGAGAGTGCGGTGTGTATAGCGCGTGTTATAGTCGCTTTGCTATAGCTCACTGACCCCATCTCATAGACTGGTGGCATCTATACGACTACGTTGTGCGCAACTCATCTATCACTTTTGATTCTTGAAGACTGACTGATCGTAGTGGACCCGCACTGTACGAGGCTTTGAACGTTTGGCCCAACTCGTCGAAGATTGTCGTGAGCTCGAACCTGGGCAACAACACAGTCACCATAGCCCGCGATGAGCTTGCCGCCGGTATCGAGCATCTCGGTTGGGACCGGATTCGCTCTCTTGAACGTCTGTCATCCTCCCTACGCACATCCACATCCACTCGCTGACATGCTTCACTCCAGTGGGCAATGAGCCAGATCACTATGGTGGCGGATCACGCGTCTCAGGCTGGTCTTCGGCAGACTACACCGCGCAGTTCCTTGGTTGGACTTCGTTCCTGACGCACAACCTCTCCCTACCTGAAGACGCGTTCCAAGCGTGCAGCTTCGCAGAAGACCCAATCAATGGCGAGGACTTCACGACTTCGAATGTCATTGACGAGGGTATTCTTGGCACTAACGCTGTCCGACTCTTCAATCAGCATATGTACCAGTATTCGACGTGTGATCCTGCACGGAACGCCATCGCTACCTTGCCGAACCTTGTGAACCATACCAACATTACGGTCCGTCCGGCACCAAGTATTCGCATTCTTCGCGAGCTCATCCCCGTTGCAGAGCTACGTAAATGAGTTCGTACCTCAAGTTCAGGCGGCTGCGGCTGTGGGCAAGGAGTTTGCTATCGGCGAGTTCTCGTCAGTCAGCTGCTCGGGCAAGCAGAACGTCACAGATACCTACGGGCAGGCGCTTTGGCTCGCCGACAGTTCGCTACTCTGCCTCTTTAGTGACGACATGAATGCTGATTGCCGCTTCATAGCGATCCTGTACAGTGCGTCTCGCAATATCTCCCGGATGTATCTCCACCAGGGCGCGACACTCGTCTTCCAAAGCAGTAATCAGGCAAACGCGTGAGTCCGATAGTTCATCAACATTGCTCTATATGCTCATTATTGTCAATATCGCGTACCAGACCCGGCTTTTCTTGGGTACGTACCATGACCCTCATCTACGTACGTTTGAGCACTGACTCATATTGACCTTCTGCAGTATGACCTCTGGTACCCAGTCGATACCGACCGCTATGGCGCTGCCCGCGCCTCGCCTTCATACGTCTCTACGCTTCTCATAGCCGAGACTGTCGGCTCGTCCAACGACTCTTCACTCGCATATATCCCCGTTCCCTCTGCACCCGATCTCGCCGCATTCGCAGTCTACGAATCAGGCTCACTCTCACGTCTCACCCTGCTCAATCTCGCGCACCGCAATACAACCGACTCTGCTGACACCGGGAGTGTGTCGGTGGATGTAACTGGTTTTGCGGGAGAGGGCGCGGTCAAGGTCAAGAGGATGACGGCGCCGGGGATGGATAGCAAGGATGTTGATTCCGTTACTTGGGCGGGTCAGGCGTATACCAATGGAACGGTTGTCGGTGAGGAGGTGATAGAGGATGTGACAGATGGAGTTGTGGTCGTCAATGGTGTAGAGGGTGTCATCGTGTTCTTCGACTCTAGTACATAGACAATAGCTACTCTTACCTACACGTAGGTCCGTCGATTCAAAGATAGTTGTGAAGCTATTTTGCTTATGATGTACTCTTCATCTCGCGTATCGTGCAGGTGGGATCGCAACCGTGCCGTGTGAATGATTCGCGGCCCGGTCTTCGGACAATAGACCGAAAGCCGAACTCGCTCTTTAATTTGACCACCACCACTATCCCTCGCGCCATGGACTCTAGTCCATCGCGAATACATCTAGTTGCTGTTTCTAACAGTCGCGGACCTGTACCATCATGATGAGATATGCACCAACCGGATAGACGCCTGCGAGCCGCGGCCTGTGCACTCCGAAACGCTGTATTCTGCGAGAGCGCGTCGCGCTACCCGATTCCCAGCCGCCTGCGCACGACTGAATGAGCCCGCGATACTATATAGGCCAGTGAACTCAAGACCTGTCGAGGACCTACGTGATCAATGGCATGAGCGGTTCTAAAGAAGGCGTACTGAGAGGACCAGGTCAGTATCCTAAACGCCTCAGTAATGAGTGGTGCGACTGACCGTCGCCCATAGGTCCTCTCGAATCAACCGCCCTCCATCTCCACTCCCTCGGGTTCTACACCGCCGTATGCTCCGTCGCGAGATTCACTCGTCCAGGCTGGGCATCGGAGTACACGATGGAGATCCCCGAATACGAATTACTATACATGGCGCTGCACCTCGTCATAGCCCAACATCCACCGCTCGCCGTAACCATTATGAACGAATCACCAACATCATCAGCTCGCTTCGTACGGCTCCCGTCTATCGACCTCGAAGACATGGTGTCGTACCGGCCCTATCCGAGAGGCTCCGACGACGAGGTCGTCCGCCAGCGCGTCTTGAACGATGTCATCGAGCGACGACTCTCGTCTCGATTTGCCGACCTTGTAAAACTACCTCCTTGGCGTGTGGTATCTCTGCATCCTAGCTATGATGCACGAGAATACCGACAGAAGGAAAACTATATGGACATCGCGCTTTTTATACATCCTGCTATAGCGGATGGAATCAGCGCCGTCGTGTTCATGGGAGCTCTTCTTGCTGCACTCAACTCAGCTTCGAAGCTGACGCGTTTCGATTACCCCGGCAAGATCGTTACGCCTCCTCAATCAACTCTCCTTCCTCCGCTGGAGAGGATTCGTCGACTGCCGGTATCTTACTTCGCTCTGGTCAAGGAAATGTGGCGCAGGCGGTTTCTGCCCTCTCGTGGCGGTCTCTGGACAGCGAGACCGGTTTCACGGCCGCCTCGCAATGAACCCGTGGATACCTCACTACCCGCTGTACACACCCGACACGCCACACGGTTCTTCTCCGCCGAAAAAGTCAAGAACCTGGTCGCTGCGTGCCACGGGCATCAAACGACGCTCACTCCACTACTCGAGGCACTCATCGCCCGCGCTTTCTTCGCAGTGCTACCTGTAGACGGCTCAGCAGACCGTCTTACGGCCATATGCCCCATCAATCTGCGACCATATCTGCCAGGGGAACACAAGGAAACCATGGGATTCTATATATCCGCGGGCCAACATGAATTCAAGCGCGAGAGTGCGGACGTCTGGGAAGAAGCAAAGCGCGCAGAACGGTCGCTCGTGCGGGTTTTGGACGGCATGAAGCGCGGCAGACATTTCCACGTCGGCACGCTGCAGTGCATCCGCGACACGCGCGGATACCTCGAAGAAATTATCGACAAACCGCGAGCGCACTCTTTCGAACTGAGCAACATCGGGGCTGTCGACGGTCAATTCGACCGTGACTCGGGACCGTATGCCCTATCACGGATGTTGTTCACGCAGAGTGCGTGCGTCGTAGGCGCCGCGGTGAAGTTCGGCGTCGTTACTGTGAGCGGTGGGACGATGGGTGTTTCGGCTTCTTGGGCTGAAGAGGTTGTGGAGGACGGAGTAGTGGAGGGGATCCTGGAAAAGTTGACGGATCTCGTGGACGGTGTTTGTTCTGGCAAGCTGTAGCTTGATGCAAACATTGTATAAATAAGGGAAAAATGAATATATTGTCACGCTTGTTCTACTATGTAAATGTAAGTAGCGGGATCAGTATTCGAGACACATCACACTTCTGGGTATCAATGCAAGAGAGGCATATATGCTGAGCAATATCGGGGCGACCAAGTCTCCGACTGACGCTCGTGTGCCTGGCCCATTATCACGGCCAAAAAGCGCTCTGAGTGACTGCATCGCTCTAATGAACAATACGATTGAAAGGAGGGATAGGAACCGGAGACAGTCCGGATGACATGTACCCCAACTCACGAAGAACCACACGGGCTGTTCTCGAAACCCGTACGATCGCAGAATCGCGCCGACTATCGACTGGGCGGCGCAGGGTCCACCAAGGGAGGTGCCAGCGAATCAGATGGAAGCGCCCCACTACCACAGGCATCGTTGGGCGCTCGGCGGGATCTTCCTTGATCATGTCGTCGACCAGTTCTCTCATGAACTCGAATCCTAAACGTCCCTTGGTTCACGTCAGTAAATAGCGTACCCGCTGTTGGAAAAACCCGCCTCACCTCGACGAACTCCGTTTTGATGAAGTTCCCTAGATAGTAGATGTCGGCGGGGAACGGATCGTGGGGAACCTGGTTGCTGACGCGTTCGGGGCGATGCTCGGGCGCACTGCAGTAGTCTCGTCCATGGGCAGGATACACCAAGCCGGAATCGCCCTCCTCTATACGAACGGAGGTGCCGAAGTCGATCAGGACGTAACACACTGGGCGCTGAGTACGGGTGAAGCTCTTCGTCTTTCGCTCCCAGTTCCTGGAGCGGTCCGTGTCGATGGCATGGAAACCTTCCGGGTACATGGGGCTTGCGTCGTACATGATGTTTCCCTTTGCGAAGTCACTGTAGGATGCATGAGCATCGTCACCCGAAGGAATCCAACGAGCGTCAATCACCCGTGTGCGATCTTACGGTCATGCATGAATTGCACACCCTAGACATTTTCATTATTACATTTCCCAGGTGTGAACGCGATGCGTGCGCACCTCAAATATCTGGCGGAAGAACTCGACCGCCTCGCCTACGGTTTCAAAAGCAGGGTCGTCAAAAGCGCGCAAGAACGGCATGACCAACACCGTGCCGCCATTCTGGGGCAACTCGAAGACGTCCAACAGAGGGACCGTGTGATTTCTGGGGTCGGACCGTAATTCTGGCGACCACAGGTACTCGAGGATCGTGCGCTCGCTATCACCGTGGCTGTCATCGTGAGTGATCTTCAACAGGACGTGCTTCCCGTCGATGATGCGCGTGGCGTCGAGCACTCGCACTGACTGACGGTGTTGAATTGATACTCCCATTTCAAATGTCGCGACTACGTACAGTCTGCTCCGCGCAGTCCTCTCTTTCGGCAGGGTCGACCTGGGCGGGGGGTTCCCAGCCCGGTCGGTAGCGGGGCCGTAGAAGGTAGCCGCGTCGTTTAAGTAGCCAAGGCTGGTACCACTGCCACCATATCTCCGTGCCATTGAGCGCATTTGCATTGTTTGCCTTTGCGGCTAGGATTTCGTCAGTGTCGAGTCCGGACGGGGGAGGGTGAGTCTCTGCTAAAAGAACAAAATCGGGCAGAGGGGGCATGGCGTGGGGAAGGTCCGACTCAGCAGAGGACATGGCGTATTTGGGGATGTAGATGTGTACGAGTTGTGTGCTAATGGGTCAAGGCTTAGAATACGTTCACAATCCGAGGCAGAGTGGGGAGCCAAAAGCGGGAGGCGAAGGCAGAGGTTGGCCGTATTCAGACTGTATATTCCGATGATGGTGGTCGTAAATCAAAGTTTGTGCCTTTGGACACAAAAGAGGCCGCGGCATGCGGGCGTGGGACGGTGCGAACGTGGTTCGAAAATGACGGAGGCTCGCCGTTGCCTTGTCACGGAAGTTGTCAGTCCACGGCCACCACTCACGACATGCAGTACAGCATGGACGTCGACCCTCCCGTCGCGGGGCCCTCCACCCTGCCCGCACAACCAATACACCACCCGCCGCCGGTGCGGGAAGACGGATTGCTGTTACGACCAGAACGTATGCCCTGATCCCGTGTCTCCAAGGTTGAGAAAGACGTGGTGGCTCACACACCCATTCGCGATTATTAGTGCCCGCTGCAAGACCTGCGCCGTTGCACGGTGCCGAAGATCTGCTCGGCCGGCTTGGACTGTCGTCGGCTTATGCGCGGTTCGTGAGCGAGGACGGATTACATCATGGGTCGGAGGGAGAGGGGAAGGGCAAAGGCAAGGAGCGGGAGCGCGGGGACGACGATGAGGAGGACGGGGACTGGCGACGGAAGAAGAGCTACCGATACCTGATCAAGGATATCCCGGGCCGCCACAGCCTGAAGCGGCCGCAACGGCGGGACGACGGGGAGAACAGGAGTGCGCTGAAGGATCTGCAGGACTTCGTGCTCGAGCCGGAGAAGCAGATCATCGGGATCACGTCGTTTGAGAGAGGGGAAAGGGATCCGTGGCATGTGTCCGACGAGCCGATCCGGCAGTGGCCGCTGAGCCATTTGCAGGCCGAGAGCAGCCAGGCCAGGGAGGAGCGCAAGCGGAAGAAGGAGCTCAAGAAACAGGCAAAACAGGCATCCGCGCCGTCGACGCCCACCACACCCCTTGCGCCGCAACAACAACAGGCGACAAATAATACGCGAGGAGGGACACCGGCAACACCGGCAACTGCCGCCCCGCCGCCGCCGCTGCCCGCACCAAAGATGGCCGGCATCAAACGCGAGCGCGAACCAGACTCGTTGCCCCCACGACCGTACATTAACGGCGTGCCGCCCGGCCCGGGCATGGTCGCGACGCCGAACGGGGCGGGGATGGGAGGTGGCGCGGTCAGAGCGGGCGTCGACGGCGCGCGACCACGGCCAAAGAAGAAACAGCGCGTGGTAAGAATCTATCCATATATCTCTACATTCGTGTTCAATGATATTCACGATACGCAGGACGCCCAAGGCCACGCGCGGGATATGCAGTTCGCCGCCGTGCAGCAGCCGACCCCACAGGGCGTCTGACGGTGACAGCCACTGCCACTGTGAGAGCGCCCAGCCCGCCGGCCTCCTTCGGCCCGCCCTCGGACTCGCGCACATCCACCCTCGCCTCCGCCCGCCGCCGCCCATCCCGTCATCACGAGCGCCCAACGCCACGCACGCATCGACACCGCCCCGTCTATCTTCGGGATCCGGATCCCGAAGCCAGTGCGCGCCTCGATTCCGTATTATGGAACGTTGGACCGCGCGGGCGCCTATATAGCCTCCGACATGACCGCGCGCTGCCTCCTCCGTCTGTTCATATCTTGAACTGGACTTGAGCGCTTGAGCTGCCCCATCTACCCCCTTGTATCCGTCATACACATTTACACATCGTCGCATGTCTCGCCCCGTTGTTGTTATTCCATCTTTTTGCTGCGCCGTGCAGCGCTTTTTTTCCTATTGTTTGTTTCGAGCGATCTATTGTCGTGGGTACGGGTACGTGCGCGTTATGTCTGGGTCTTCCGTATTCGGAAGACCGTTGTCCTTCCGCGAGGATGACATGTTCGGCTCCGACGTTTGACGTGCGCCTTGTTCAGATCGACGCTGCCCTTGTCCTTTTCGAAACCGACAGCTCTATCTGGTTTGGGCGAAGGTTATACTCGAACATGAACATCACCAGCCGATTCGGCTGGGTCAACATGTTGCCACTCTTGTCGCCGACAATATGCATTGTGCGTCCAATCCTGGTCCAAGCTTACTCGGTCATGACTGCTGACACAAGCAACTACTCATGTACTCATGGGCCCTCCTCGCCGCCAACCGGCGATGCTCACACTTACTCACCGCCCTACCCGGCACCGACGCTCTCTGACCGTTCGCGCGCCAATTCGCACCATTCAATGCCCATATCCGCGGCCAGGCCCGCCCATCTCAAACTCAAATCAAACAGTCAACCGTGCTAATCGAGGACGCTCAATGGCTATAGCGGGTCATCTCATCATATCATGGTGATATGTTTCGTAGCCTCGATGTGAGGCGTATGGACTTTCTCCGAGTCGAGTTTGGTGGGCCTGGTGGTCCTCAGTGTGTTGAGGCGTATAAGTACGGGCCCGAGAAAGACTCTGAGAAACCGATTGTATCCTCATGTCTGACGAACCGGAGAAGCGCATCACGCTCTATACACATCTGGTGCGCGGCTTATTCTGACTGGTAAGTTCGCCGGAACTGATTATGATACTCGCACAGTCCTCGCCATACTCCAAACGTGTACGTCGTACGTCGTACTCAACACCATCAAGCACCGACACATACGGTACAGGTTGAGCTCGCCCTGGCAGAAGCAGGCGTAGACTACGACAGCCACATCATAGACCTCATCCGCAAACCGGAGTGGTACGTCCGCGATGTGAAGGACCCAAACGGCAAGGTACGCCGTCTCCTTCCCTTCCTTCCCTCACCACATCATCCAACTCACACTAGCATTCCGAATCGAACAGATCCCAGCGCTTTCCTACGGTCCTCCTCCTTCGGCCTCATCGACCGTCCTCCCACCGCCCGACTCGTTTCACCTATCCGAATCGCTCGTCATTCTACCGTTCCTCGCCGATCTGTACCCTGCACTCCTTCCTCCGTCTCCTGAAGATCGTGCACGCGCGCGATTCTTCATCGCGAAGGTACAGGAGAGGGTCGTGCCGGCTTGGTTTGGTGCGATTACGACAGGCGAGGTGGAACTTGATGTACTGGTCAATGCGTTGAAGGAAGTGCAGAGACTGTTGCCAGAGGCTACAGTCGATGGCGAAGATGAGAGCGCCGGTGCAAGTGGGGTGCATGAGGAGGGGGAGACGGGCTACGCAGCGGGACGATGGAGCATCGCAGACGCAGCCTTCGGACCATTCCCCTACTTGACCGAAGTCTATCTCCGGAACGATGCAGGCGCGTACGCTCCTGGCTTTGGTCCTAGAGTATGGGCCGAGATCTTTGAGAGCGAGAGGTTTGCGAGGTTACAGGCGTACTTTGGGAGAGTCAGTGGAAGGAAGAGCTGGAATGTTATGTCGGATGAGGTGAGCGCATCTCGCCCAGGAAAAGAGTGGCTGATTCAGTCCGCAGAGGTACATGCTTGTGTTCTTGCCAAAGTTCATGGCATACATGGGGGTTCAGCGCAAAGATCACTAGTTGAAGCAGCAAGCCCGCCGCAACTGATAGAGTTGATCAAGCGCGGCTCGAACATTGCGAGCTATATCATATCGACAACTGTGCGATAACTGCTATAGGGCCGCACGCGGCAAGACCCGCTACGGTTCGCAAGCTCGAAGCAGTACATGCGACGCGGGATGAGGTGAACGGCGTACTTCCGCAGTCAGAGTCCGCACATCTCGCGATGGGGATATTCTTTCAGAATTATTCGCCTTATTTTGAATCGACAGGCCGGTTGACGACGGGCGTCTATTCTCTCTTCTGCGTAGACCATCAAGCCTTTGAGCCTTTCATGATCTGGGTTGTATACGGACACCGTATTACTGTACTTAGCGGCGTTCCGGCATGGTTCGGCCGGTTCATCCAAGGCTCCCGACGACGCGACATCTTGCCTCGCGCGTCGCGGAAAGATGGGCGTCCCCACTTTGGGCCCCGACCACCACCAACACCAATATATCTCTTCCTTTCACCTGAGCACACGAGCAACTATCCCGACGATCAAGACCCCGCGAAGCCCTCGCGCCCTTTTAGACAAGTCGGCAA